GTTTACCTGCAGAGAGATCTATGCCGAGGTAAGGGGCCTGCAAAACAGGCCGCAGACGGCGGCCCCTCTTGCGCAAGGCTGTTGCAATAGATTTGGCCAGACGCTGATTGGAAGCAAGCAACACGCTCTTGGGGGCGGCAGCTAACCGACCTTTAGCCAAAAATTCGAAAGTGTCCGAGACCGAGTTGACCATAGCCTGGAAGACCTGACGCTCCGACCCGACTGTGGACTCGCTGAGGTCGTCGACCCATATCCGTGTCCAGACTCTCGGGTTGGCTGTCGTCAACTTCTTAAGAATGAAATGCGTGCAGCATTTTCCGAAACGAGTACCGTTGCGAAGGCCCTGCACAATTGATTGTGCCACTTGAAACGCACGCGATGTGGAGCTGAACTGCGATAGCGTTCGTGCCGCCGTGCACAACTGGAACTCTAGCATCAATACCACTGGTGGAAAATTGAGCTCCAGCGCAGTCGCCACGAGATGATCCCACAACACCGTGTCGTGAAAGGACTGGATGTCCATGATCGCATGGGCGTAAATGATCTTGAGGTAACCGTGCACTTCTTCGCACAGCGTCTTGACGAAAGCTTCTCGTAACGCCGAGTTGCCTGCCAGCGCCGCGTCCCAGTGTGCGGCTTCCTCGGCTGCCCACGGCTTGATGTAATTCTCTCTGATCAAAGACCAGATGCGACAGACCGTACACAACAAACCGATAACTCTGTTGCCTGCGCTCTTCTTTGGGAGCAAACGCCCCATTGTTAGAAGCAATTGCCATGGCCAGCGCGCTCACACGAGTTGAGCAAATTAAGAAACTCCCTCCGTCCTTCAACTGGCAGGCGCTGAACGTCCAACGCCGTCAGACTATCAGCTCCCAGTCCTGCCTTCGGCTTCCTACGTCCGATGGCGTAGTCCAGCTCCTGCAAGGTGATCTCTGGAAGTTGCTCTACCTCCGCCTCAACCCTGATGCGACGAAACAACTCTGAATACAAATGAAATGAACATGAAGACAAAGGGAAAGAGTAGAGAAGACTGGGAAGGAACGCTGAAAAGTGGCAGCAGGTGGCTACGAGCGGAGACTCGTGCGGAAACAAAGCGCGGGGGAGATTGGAAGGCACCCGAAAGCCTCCCATGACCTCTGGGGGGCCCCAGAACGGCCCCGATGACCGCCGAGCCGAAAACCTGCGGGAACGCCCCAGGGGCCTCGTCGAGGGAGGCCCCCATTCGAAGCCTACAGAAGAACCTGGGCCAGTGAAGCACGCGCGTCTCAAAGGCCGGCAAACCGGGCCCCGGCAAGCGGCGGACCGTCGGCTTGGCCAGTGGCAGCGCTGGCGATGCACACACGGACCCGCGGCAACCCGACCCCAAGATGGACATGCAGCGGGCCCACCACGACGACGACGAAAACGACGAGAGGAGGGAGGAGGAGAAAGAGGAGGGAGGAGGAGGAGGAGGAGGAAGGAGGGAAGGAAGGAGGGAAGGAGGGAAGGAGGGAGGAAGAAAAGGAGGAGAGGGAGGAGGGTGGGGGCTGAAGGGCCGACAGGCTGACCCTCGGCAGGCTGGCCTCGGCAGGGGATTATCGGCCTGGCTGGCTGAAGGGTCCCACTGCCGGGCTCCACGCGGTCAGGGACGACGACGACGACGATAAGGGGAGGAAGGGAGGGAGGGGGAGGAGGGAGCAGGGCGGGACGGAGGGACGGGAGGGACAGCTGCAAAAGGAGAACGAGAAGAGAGAGAGAGAGAGAGAAGAAAAAAGCGAGAGAGAGAGAGAGAGACGGAGAGAGAAAGAAAGAGAGAGAGAGAGAGAGACAGGGAGAGAAAAAAACACAGAGAGAGAGAGAGAGAGAAAGAGAGAGAAAGACAGAGCGCGGAGGACGAGGAGGATGCGGACCCCCGAAGCCCAGCCGACCCCAAGACCTGGCCGAACCAGGACTTTGTTTTACGCGCTGGGCCCCCGACGCCCACGGACTGCGCCAGGCCCCAGCGCGGAGGGGAAACGACAGAACGGCAGAGGGGAAGCGAGTGTGAGCAAGGAGCCAAGGGAGAGGAGGAGAAGAGGAGATGGAAGGCCCCCCCTTTGTTCGAGAATTGGCGTTAGTTTCCAAACAGTGTTGCGCGGCAAAGGGCAGCAATGGGGCCACTGAAGGCAAAACCGCGACAGCGGGGCCACTGAGGGCAGCAAAGGAGCCACGAAGGGCAGCGAGAGTGCCACGAAGGGCGACAGCGGGGCTACGAAGGGCATGCGTATGGGGCCACGACGGGGGATTGCGAGCGGGGGCCACGAAGGGATATGGGGCCACAACGGGCGCGAACGAGCGGGGGCCACGAAGGGCATTCGTATAAGGGGCCACAAAAGGCGACAGCGGGGCCACTGAGGGCAGCACAGGGGCCACGAAGGGCAGCGAGAGGGCCACGAAGGGCGACAGCGGGGCTACGAAGGGCATGCGCATGGGGCCACGACGGGCGACTGCGAGCGGGGGCCACGAAGGGCATGTAATGCGGGGCCACAATGGGCAGCGACGGGGCCACTGAGGGCAGCAACGGGGCCATGAAAGCAGCGAGCGAAGGCGACCGCGGAACCAGTACGGGCAGCGAGGGGCATCGAAGGCGGGCGAAGGGCAGCGAGCGGCGACTGCAGTCCCTAACGGGCTGGTCGGGCGGGCAGGCCCAGACGGGCGGGTCGAGCGGGCGGGTCGTTGAAGCGTAAATTCGACTTGAACCGCCAGGCAATATGTAGCGGGAGCGCGATTCCTGAGTGTCGAGGAGCGGCATCTGAATATATCGTGAGGAAGTATCATGCGGGAGGCCGCCATTCGGTAAGTTGCGAGGAAGTCCCAAGCGAGAGCGCGATTCTTCAATATATTGTGAGGAAGTATCAAGCGGGAGCCGCGATCCGGTGGTACATTGCAAGGGAGTCCCAAGCGAGAGCGCGATTCTTCAATAAATTGCGAGGGGAAGTATCAGACAGGAACCGCTGTTGTTGTAAACCAGGGGCCAACAACGCAGTTTTATCCTCAAGACTTCCCCTGATAAAGAACAGGGTGCGAGCCCCGGGAAGGGCACTTCAAGCGAAAAAAAACAATGTGCACCAGATTGGGGGGATCAACAATAATTGTTCTTCAAAAATGAAAGGTCAACAGCAACAAGAACCGTAACAATAACATAACAACAGCAACAGCAACAACAACAGCAACAACAACAACAACAACAACAGCAACAACAACAACAACAACAAACATAACCAAATGAGACAACAAGAACAAACCACTGCGAGTGGAGGGCCCCGTGCTTCCCCCAGACCAGAGCCCCCGAGAGGGCCCCCCCCCCAAGACGGCCGCCGGCTTCTGGGGGCGCGGCGCGGCAGGAGGAGAAGCGCGGGGTCAGCGGGAGCGCCCGCGGGAGGGAGGGGCGCGCACCAGTGGTACGGGGGCGGGGCAAGGGAAGCGGGAGGGGCCTCATCATCGTATTCTTTTTATGTTTCTGATTCGTGTGATCCTTCTGCTTCGTCCAAGTATTATAACTATCCTTCGTATCTCACTGAAAGTATTACTCGCACCCTTCTTATTGTTATTCCTAATATACTTATTATTCGTGGTATTCCTGTTATGATTCCGATGCTTTTTCTGACGAGCCACCAGACCACCCCAGACCCATATCGAAGACCCGAATTTCGGGTTGGGGAGGGTACGGGCTCCATATGTGTTTTTCAATGCTCCCCGACGACCCCCCCAACTGCGAGTGGACGGCGAGTTGGGGCCTTTGGGTTGGGTTGGGGTGGTTTGGTGGGTGGTGAACTTCTCTTGCGTCATATAATGATAATCAAAACGTGTATGAAGGACAGGTGTTAAGGACGCAAGACCCTTGGAGGCCGAGGTTGGGACGTTTTGGTCGGCGGGCGACCAGTGAGAACGGCAGAGGATGGGCCGAAAAGGCAAGAACACAAGGGCACCCTAGATGAAGTCGCGCGTCCTTGCTAGGCGCGTTGACTGTAGGGGAAGTGTAAGAGGCATCGTCTTCTTCTGTGTCTGCTTCTTTTTCGTATTATTCTTAGTCTTATTCGCCTGCTTCATGTTCTCAAGTCCTGCGGCGTCTGCGTCTGCTTCTCCTGCGTCCTCTTTCGACTCTGGTCGTAGACTACATGGAGGGGGGCAAAGGAACGCGAGAAGAAGAACCTCCTAATCGCCCCCATCTACCCTGTCGTGAACCCTATTCTTCTCTTCTAAACCCCCTCCCGCCTCTTCTTCTTCCAGCGCCACCCTACTACCTCCTTCCCCCTCTTTAACTCCACCGCCTCGTTCCATTTCGCCTCATCACGGTTCCCCTCCTGCTCCTCCTCACCCCTATCCTCCTCAACTTCCTACCCCTGCCTCCAGCGACTCGTCAAGGCCGCCCACGGTGACAACAAAACCGAAAACCGACGGAAGCGACAGTGGAACCAAAACCGACAGGCCACAAGCGGCCTGCAAGGCCGCAGCGACGCGGCAGAGACGCAGCGATCGACCGAACCGAGCCGACCGCGGCCCGACCGACCAGGACACGACCGAACGGACCGAGTCGCTTGCTCATCCACCTTACCCTCCTTCCCCACCGCCTCCTTCGCGTCGTCGTCCATATCTCATTCCCACGACGACGAGGACCACGACGATAGACGACGACGACGACGACGCTTCACGACGACGACAGCGGCGGCGGCGGCGATGGCGCGGCGGCGACGACGACGAAAACGACAAGGGCGGCGACGACGCACGACGCACGACGCAACGTATCGACGGCGGCGGCGGCAACGGCGAGAAAGACGGCGACCACGCCAGCGGCGACGCCGAGGACGGCGGAGCCGAGGACGGCGCCGCGGGCGCCTCGGCGCGAGCCAACGGCGACGGCCACTGCGACGGCGACTGCGACGGCGGCGACGGCGAGGACAACGGCGACGCCGAGGACGGCCTCCGAGGGCGCTGACGCGAGCCAGCGACGACGGCAGCTCGCGGCGGCGCCGGCGGCGCTCCAGCTGTCGCCACAGGTGGAGCGCCGCGGCGCAGGCGCTGGGCGCGGCGAGGAGCACCTGTGGGGGCGCGCCCCGTCGGCGCCGTCGCACGCAGCCGCCGGCACTCCGCCGAGGAAGGCGGTCATCATCGGGCCACCGAAGGCGGGACCTGAGGCTAGAGGCCCCCCAGGTGGGGTCCGAGCAGACGGGGTCGCAAGATCGCGCGGCGACGTCGGCGACGCATCGGCGACGTCGGCGTGGAGAAATCGGGCTCCGCACCGAGCCGCATCGTCGATGCATCGGCGGTGCGGCGCGATCCTCCGACCACATCTACTCCGACCCCATCTAGGAGGCCTGGAAAAACAAAGCCAGGACGAGGGCGACTTCAAAGAAGGATACCTTAAGAGTCTCTGAGATCTGGCGGCTCTGGAGGCTGTCTCGGGCATCGCGGCCTTCTCGCGTTCCGGGACGCTCTGAGAGCGTTCCAGAACGCTCTGGAACGAATTTATCCTCGTCGTGGCCTCGGCCGAGGACAAGTTGGGGCAAGCCCGAGGAGCTGACAGGACCTCAACACCTCAACGACGCCGCGTAGGACCGCGACGAGGGAGGGAGGAGGTCGGGCGCACTGAGCGCCTGTGCCTGGCAGCATCGGACTGGCATCGGATACAGCGAAGGCCAGTCTACAAGCAACCCTCCACAAGAAACCCAACCCTGAGCCCCAGGACGTCCATGGGTGTTTGGTGTGGGAACGTCACACTATCCATAGCAAAACCATCGAAACCCAAGAAACCCAGGGCACCCTGGAGGCAAGCAGGGTGTTTCTTGGCATAGGTCTCCACTGTATTTTGGGTGGTCGACGCGAGTCGGAACGCGGGGTCGGAATCTGACCACGTCGGCCGCGACAAGATGCGCAAACGGCGGCGGCGGCGCCCAGGGGCGCCAGGGTGGCGGCGCCGCAGAAAGAGGGTGGCGCGACGATGGGCGGCCTTCTGAAGAACTGGTGGGAGCAATGCTCCCACCAATTTTTCAGAAGGCCTCTCAAATGCTCCGAGGGAGCATCTGAGAGGGCTAAGCGGGGGGCTTCTCATATGGTCCTGGAAGCCTCAAGGAGGGCTTCAATCGGGAGGGCTTCCAAGAAGCCCCATGCCTTGTTACTCACACATCCAAAAAAAGGAGGTTCATGTGTGGGTAACAAGGCACAGGAGGTCTCACCCACTCTCTCCTATATCTGACGCAGTGAATCACTCACTCACCCACTCACCCACTCACTCATTCACATACTCAAGCATTCCGCGGTTCCCCCTCCTCATCCACCATGAGCATCATACTCATCATCAGCAGCATCGCCACCATCGTCATCAGCATCGTCATCGTCATCGTCATCGTCATCGTCGTCATCATCATCATCATCATCATCATCATCATCATCAGCATCAGCATCAACATCATCATCATCATCATCATCAGCAACATCATCCGCATAACTATCATCACTCAGCCAACCGACTTACTCACTCATTCATTCCCCGTCATCCTCAGTCACTCACACAATCCCTCACTCACTCGTCACAGAACACGGTTCACTCACTGATCGCCATCACTATCACCACGGCCATCGTCATCATGATCACCACCGTAACCATGCCATCACGATCATCGACTAATCGTCGAACTGAACGGCGAAGAACTCTCGAACGGGAACCCCTTCCCTAAAGGCCCGGCACTTCCTGTTCGAATCCGAAACGGGTCATTGGCCGACCGTAACAAGCATAACAGCTGAGTACCCCACGACGCCTCGTCGGTGAGTGGATTGTGAGGAAGCCTCGACCGGGAACCCTTTCCAGAAGGGCCCCGCGCTTAAACGTTCAAATCCGAGGCGGGTCATCGGCTGAGCATATCACTTGATCACCACAGGGGGGCCTCGTTTGTGAGTGACTTGTGAAGAAATCTCATGCTTGAATCCGAAGCGTGTCATCGGCCTACAATGGAGAGTGTGGCACGTGAGCGCTCCAGGCGGGCCTCGTCTGCGAATGGATCGTGAAAAAACTTCGAGAGGAAACCACTTCCGTAAGGGCGCCGCACTTCAAGTTCGAATCCAAGGCGTGGCATCGGCCCACTATGAGAGACAAAGCACTTGACTACCCCAAAAGGCCTCGTTAAAGAATGTGTTGTGAAGAGTTCTCGAACGGAACCCCCTTCCTTCCGGGTCACGCACTTCACGCTCGAATCCGCGGCGGGCCATCGGACTACCATAGCAGGTACAACAAGTGAGCGCCTCTAGCAACCACGTCTGTGAGGAAACTGCGAGGGGTCTGAGGCGGGAGCCCCCATCTCTGCGGGGCCCGCAACTCACGTCTCTTATCGGAGCGGGGCATCGAAGACCTGCAAATTTCCCAATGTTTGGCCTTTTTCTTCGAACTTGGGTTCTCGAGTCAGAGTTATTCCGCCGCGCGTATGCGGAACACGCCGATGTTCCAGCCGCCCGCGCGAAAATTCTTGGAGCGCGGGCCGCTGGCGCCCTTGCGGGAGGCGCTCAGGAAGTTCGGCAAGACAGCGGTGAACTCCAGGACTCAAGCGGAACGGCTCGCGGCAGAGCTGGGTTTCGCGCTGCCTCCTGCCAGTGCACGGCCGCGAGTTAGCTCGAGGCCTGCGGGTTTGTCCCAACGGTTTGCTCCTGGCCCCCAGCGGCTCGCGGGTTTGTCTTACGGCCGGGCCCGCGGGATTGCCCCGACGGCTTCGCGATCTGGCCATTGGAGAAGGCGACCCCGCCGGCCGCGGCGGCGACGAGGAAAAGCGCGACCCGCAGGGCTCGCAGGTCCCACGGGTCCCGCATGCCCCACAGGGCAAGCAGGTCAGGTCCTACAGGCCGCACAGGGACCACAGGTCCCACAGGTCTCACAGGTACCACAGGCCCTACAGGTCGCACGGGACACGCAGGTCGCACGTGCCCCACAGGTCTCGACGGCCCCACAGGTCGCATCCTGGTGCCCTGGCATCCCAGCATTATCACCATCGCCAGTCGTCGATCATGGCGACTCTGATGCGCGGTAAGAAGACCTTCACGCAGAGAGATGGGAGCGGACAACGTGCTCCCACAGCTGGCGCCAAAACGTGATTGCCCCCACGCGCGTCGGGATGAGGCCTGCGAGGTACGGCACGAGCGAAACAGCGCTTGCATTTGAAAGCCGCATGCTTCCTCACCGAAAGCCTGGGGAGACCAAAAGGCATCGATACCGCTACTCCCCAGACCTCTCCCGGGGTGCGTTCTGACGTTCTGACCAGGATTTCGAGGCGAATCCAGCGGTGGCGACGAGGGCCCCCCGGGAAGCCCAGCAGGGGGAAACAGGGGAAGGGTAGCAATATGGGTACCTTCTCCTCCCTCTGGGGATGAGGCCGGCCAGGCATGGCACGAGTGAGACAACGGTTGCACAGGAAAGCCGCTGTCTTCCTCACCAAAAAAGCTCCCCCAATGCCTACTCAGAAGGTAACCATTTTCTTATCCGGCGTTTCGACATCGGGCGGAAGGGGGGGAGGGGGCGGGTCTGGCTCCGGACCTCTGCTCAGTGCGACTATTTGCAACGGTGCGCCCCGTGGGGGGAGGGACTCCACCTGCTCGAGACAGGCGCCAAGAACAGCTAAGATCTACTCCACTGGGGGGGCGAGGGAGGGGGGGGTGCGAGGGCCCGCGCCGATAGGCAAAACAACGATAAGAAAGCGACCTCCTTTGACTCCCATGTTTCCACCTTTACTGTAATAGTTCGAGGAAGACATCAGGCCCCACGACGGCCCCGCAGGACCTACGACAACAGGACACGCAGCAGGCCCCACGACGGCCCCACAGAACACTGCCAGAAGCCGCCCGACTGCTTCGAGAGTCGCGGCCTCCTCGCGCCACGCCGCGGTGCGCGCCGGGGGTACACATCGGAGACGGCCCTGGCCTGCCATCGCTCGGAAAGTTCACTCTTCGTGCTTTCTTTGGTTTCGTGCGGGCCTCTTTTGCCGGAGGATACGCTGGGTGGGCAAGAAATCGAGGGGTGGGCGACTAACCTTCCGACGAAACGTGCCCATACCCCCACCCCTCAGCCAGCTCCACCTCCTCCTCCTCCTCCTCCTCCTCCTCCTCCTCCTCCTCCTTCTCCTCCTCCTCCTCCTCCACCCCCCCCTACACTCGTTCCGACAGCACGTGCCCAACCCCACCTGGCGGATCCAAGGAAGGGGCGATCATTGCCCCATCCAGAGTACTCGATGCTCCTCCATGGTTCTCGCTGAGAAAGAACGCACACTTCCGAGCGATGCCAAGATGGAGGGAGGGGGGCCCAGAGGTCTCCTGTGTCCACAGCCTGGGGAGCCGATCTCCCAGGGACCCCCTGGGGGAACGATGGACAGGCGAAGGTTGGCATTACCATGCCCCGTCGCAGGTCAGCGCGGATTCTTGGGTCGGCGCTGGACCCCCTCCCTGGCGGGCGAAACGCGGTAGGGGCGGCGACGGAGGCGCCGCTCAGAGAAAGGTCCAGCGCCGAGCCACGAAATCCGCGCGGGCTTCCGATCATACCCCCCGATGGTTGGCATTCTCAGATGGCTACCATGCAGGAGCAGCTGGGCGTCGCTGCTGTACGACATGTTTTCTCGCAGAGCACTCGAGCACTCCTGCAACAACCACACCTGCCGGACAGCTCCGCGGGGATCCAGACACCCTCACCCTTAACAAAAAAAACTCTGGACGACCATCCACTGATGCTTACCATGCTACATGGTACGTAGTATGATTTGCTCTGGCACAAATGCAAGCCAGCGCATTGCAATGTAATGCGACGGAATTGTTTGCAATGCGATGGAATGCGAACGAGAGGTAGGTAGGATACGCAATGCCAAGCGCAGCAAACCAGTGCAACATGGAGCAAAGCCCAGCACAGCACAGCACAGCAACGAAATCCTTCAATGTCAAGCAACACACAAAAAAAACAATGCGAATGATTGCAGACGGTGCAACGTTGTGCTACAATGGTGCTGGACAATGAAGGGACGCGATAAAAATGCAACGCTACACAAATCAATACACACATCACGATTGTGCAATTCTGTGCAAAACTGGCCTGTGATGCACAACCCACTGCAACTTCAGGGAAACCAAAGCAATGCTGAGCAATGCAGCGCAATGCACAAAAAAACTAAAACATGCAGACCGACGCAATGCAACTGCACTACAGGGCACATCCAATGTACGCGAAGGAACGCAAGCACAACTAAGCACGCAACGCAGTGCAATACATGAACAGGGAAGACGAGACAAACCATAGCAAGAAAAACGCAGCGGGAGGCTCCAAAGGAACGCAGCGCAAAATACACAGCAGTGCGCCGAGAAGAGGAGCTCGACGAAGCAAAAGCAGGACCAACGCAGAGAGCCTGAGGACCCAGGACAGAACGCCCGAACCGGTCTGCCCGGCACCAGATGACCCGCCGCCGTAGGGAACCCATCGGCATCCTAGTCGTGTCAGTGGTTGTGTGTATGTATGTGTATGTGTATGTGTATGCGTATGTGTATGTGTATGTGTACGCGTATGTGTCTGTGTACGTGTATGTGTATGTGTACGTGTGTGCGTACATGTATGTGTATGTGTATGTACACGTGCATGAGTATGTGTATGTGCATGTGTGATTTGTTTGTGATTGCGTATGAATATGTGTATGTGTACGTGTATGTGCGTGTGGATGTGGATGTGGATGTGGAAATGTGTCTGTGCCTGTATATGCAAATGTGTATGTGTACGTGTACGTGTATGGGTATGTACATGTGTATGTGCATGCGTATGTATATGTGTACGTGCATGTGTATGTGTATGTTTATGTGTAGGTGTATGTGGGTGCGGGTGTGCGCGTTTGTGCGTGCGTGCGTTTGTGCGCGCGCGTGCGTGCGCGTGTGCGCGCGTGCGTATGTGTGCGCGTGTGTGCGTGTGTGTGCGCGCGCGTGCGTGTGGGCGTGTGGGCGTTTGGGCGTGCGGGCGTGTGGGCGCGTGTGTGCGTGTGTGCGTGTGTGTGTGTGTGTGTGTGCGTGCGTGCGCGCGTGCGCGCGTGCGTGCGTGTGGGCGTGTGGGCGTGTGGGCGTGTGTGCGTGTGTGCGTGTGTGCGTGTGTGCGTGTGTGCGTGTGTGCGTGTGCGCTTGTGTGCGTGTAGGAGTGGGTGCGCGTGTGTGTGTGTGTGTGTGTGTGTGTGTGTGTGTGTGTGTGTGTGTGTTTGGTAGTTGCATCTGTGTGTGTGCGCGCGTGCGCGTGATGTCTGCAAGCGTATGCGTGCGTGTCTGTCGGCGAAATGTCGCCGCCCAGTCTGGGGGGGCACCCCATGCGACCCGGATCGGCGGCACTGGCCGAAGGCCACTACAACATAATGACACGCCGCCGTGGGGAACGCATCGGCATCTTACTGTCGCAGGAACACCAGTCCTTCGAGCAAAAGCGAAGGAGCAACACGCTGATGGGCTACCAACGGCAGCGTGTGACTGACACTCTCTGCTGAGAGGGGGCGTCAACCGACCACCTGAGGGGCAACGCTAGGGGGGGCGACCACCTCAGGCGGGGGGGGACTTCGGCCTGGAATTGGCGATGCATCGCCGATAGGACGGCGATACACCCGCGATGCCGAAACAGCATGGTCCTGGAAGGGGAGGGGCTATCGGGCACCTATCGGCGATCCATGGACGATTGGGGGTCGAAGCACCCCCACTTGAGACTGTTTTCTTTATAATGTCTGGTAACGCCGTTCGTTACCCGTGGGGGGGGATGGCTGCGGTAACGTTTGGGTTGGATGGGGCACGTCGGGACGGGGGTGCGCTGTCATCGCCATAGTATGTGCACGAGCACCAGTACGTTGGGGGGTCCAGCCCCACCCACCCCCCATACGATCGTTACCGTTGCCCGAGGGGGGTGGCGGGTTACGACCCTTACGCGCCAGTGGAGAGAAAACAATATCTTGGTCAGGGTGGGGCGGGCCCCTATCGACGATCAATCGACGATTGGGGGTCGATGCATCCCACCTATTGAGCCTACCCCCCCTAACGTTGCCACCTGGTCTTCAGATCATGACTCCAGTCTCACGCGGCCGTTCGAAACAATCCGGGCCCCCCCAGAACGCTCCCGCCGAGGCGCAGCTGCTGGAAAGCACCCCGAGACTGAAAAACCACCGAGGTGCGACGAAAACGCATAAAGACAACAAACCCCCCAAAAAACCAACCCCGAGCCCGTTACCTCTCCAACGTTGCCCCTGACTGTCGGCGGTGACTCAGAGGGGAGCGCCCAACAAGGGGGTTCGCAAATCGTGGCCCGGAAAGAAGAAGAGGCGCAGGGAAATCAGAGAAAATATCATGGCCCCCGCCATGATAGGAACCCTCCTCCTCCTCCCCCTCCTCCTCCTCTTCCACCTTCTCCACCTCCTCCTCCTCCTCCTCCTCCTCCTTCTCCTCCTCCTCCTCCTCCTCCTCCTCCTGCCCACCCCTAATCATCACCCCCCTCTGGGCCGTCACCGAGACTGGTACCATGTTTGTGCCGCGGCGGGCGTGTACCCGCCCGGGGGCGCCGCGTACTCGGCGCACTCCCAGACGCGCACGGGAGCGAGGGCCATCCTGGAAGCCCCACGGGGCAGGGGAGAGAGGGGGGGAGAAGCAGGAGGAGGAGGAGGAGCAGGAGGAGAGGGAGGAGGATGGGAAGAGGAGCGGAAAGAGGAGGGGATGGGGGAGAGGAGCAGGAGGAGGGGGAGGAAGGAGGAGGAAAAGGAGGAGGGGGAGAAGGCGGAGGAGGAGGAGGAGGAGGAGGAGGGGGAGGAGGGGGAGGAGGAGGAGGAGGAGGCGGACGAGGAGCGAGCGAGTGGCGCAGCAGCGGTCGATCCAGTAGCTGAGGCCAGACTGTACGAAGACAGCAGAGGGGTGGAATGAGAATCCCACCTCTGCGCAAGAAAAGAGCAGCTAACGAGGTTGCTCCACAGGCTTAGTGTCTGCGCCTCACGTGGGCACCTCTGCACAGCTACATTCCGGAACGCGGCGTAAGCGCCTGAGCAGCAGGCAAGCCAGCTGGGGATTAAGCTGATACGCATCAGAATCATCCACCGAGTCCCCCCCCCCGTCCAACGACCGAACCTCCACCCCCATCAGGACGCGAGGCCGTCTACTCGAGACGAAGAGCGTCGGCGATCCGACGCAAACGGACTGGGCTGGCAGGCGCAGGGACCTCATCAGCTGGCTGCGCATAGCTGGGAGCAGCGGGCACCTGTCGTCGCGGCCTGGGCAAGTCAGCATCGGTTCTTCGATGTCTGCCTCGAACCGCATTCCCAAGTATACACACAACAGCCCATGTTGACTGCTTGCGCGCAGCTCCAAAACATTTCGAGGCGAGTTTTCGGCACTGGCCATGCGACGAGATGGCAAGACAAGCGCAGCGTGTGCATATCATTATTCGGCCGTGCTGGTCTGGTCGGCGCTGCAGCCCTCTAAGAGTAGACGGACCTGAGAAGAGACGAGGCGATCCACGGAGCGGGCGTAGGGGGTCGGTCCCAGGAACTCTTCGGCGAGCTCCAGAGCAGCAGGCACCGCTGATGAGGAATGTGGGGCGGCCTTCAGGTCAGCAGCCTGCTGCTGCTAAAAGATGCATGGGGCTCTCCACTACTGGATGACCGTAGGCGAACAAACACGACTCGCCCCCGTTCTTAGGCCGTTGAGGGTCTGGTCGGTGGCCGCTATCATGTTGCATCGTCTGCATCTTCATCCGGACCGAGTCGCAATTGAACATGAATCGTGTTTTTGCGGCGTCAGCTCCAGCACAGCGTTGAACACAGAGGCCTTGGGCGGAGGCTGCGGAGCAGCAGTGACATATTCGCCAGCAACGTTGTTACCTTGCACGGCCCTGGGGAAAATAAACCAACGAGTCTCGTGAAGCTTCTTGTTCTGGACCCTCCCGGCCTGCCAAGCAAGGCCTGGGGCCCTGTGCATGGCGGACCCAAGGCGGCCAACGAAAATCGGTCCAGACGTTTCCACTAAAGTGCTGTACATTCTGGAAAATACTATTGAGAACGGATGGTAAGGACGCAAGACCCGTGGAGGCCGAAGTTGGGATCTTTCGGGGCGTCGAGCGACCAGTGACAACGGCAAAGGACGGGCCGCAGAGGCAAGGACACAAGGTTGAAGGCACGCGTCCTTACCAGGCGCGTTGACTGTAATGTGCTATCTTCGCCTGGCCCTTGGAGCACATCCTCGAGCGAACGGCGGGCTAGGCTTGTGTTCCTTAAGTCCTCTACGCGGGAGAAATCTAGAAACAAATACTGAAATAATACTTGTTTCGCTAGTTCGCGCGACCCCATGCAGGAATACTGTTTTAATAGTCCCCCGATTATCAAAACAGTTTTGAATTCAACGGGAAACTCAGCGAGGCACGCGCTGTCCCAGCGGCGCGGGGGGAACGCATCAGCGCCCGTTCCGTGTCGCATGCTGTCAAAGCAGACGCGTCGCGGAAACGCTCCGAGCGAGTTTTTCCCGCTATATCTACACATATCAATACCACTGCCCATCGGTATATACATCGACTGCGCTATCTGTACATATGCCTATCGATATCACTACCGATCTATGGGTATCACTGCCTACTCATCGATCTCATCGCTGATTGATCGAGCTGGCTCCGAGGCGACAGCCTGAATACATATATAACATGGCGCGAAGCGCAGAGGAGAGGAGGCCGAGGGTGAGGAGGAGGAGGAGGAGGGGACGACGATTCAGAAGCCCTGGGGAGAGCCTCGGACCGCAAGAGGAGGCGAGAGCGGGGGAGGACGAATGGGGCGAAGAGAGCGGAGAGGACGCGGGGGAGCGAGGCAGAGAGAACGGGGGAGGCGGAGAGGGGTGGGAGGGAAACGGGGGCGGGGCAGCGGGCGGCGAGGGAGAGGACGAGGAGCCCCCCTCGTCATTACCCTCGCTCGTCTCCTCGCCATCCTCGTCATGGTCCTCACCATCTCTCCACCCTCCTCCATCCTCTCCTCGCCATCCTCTCTCCATCCTTCTCGTCCAAAGCCGTTTCCCACGGTGCCCCAAAGGGCAAACATGTCGTCGGGCCAGGGCGTCGGGCTGGGCGTCGGGCTGGGCGCCCGGTCAGTCGAAGGCGATGGCCGCCTTGAATTTCTTCGCGAAGCCCTGCACGAGGGCGTCGAAATCGGCACCGACCGTGCCCAACTTCGCGCCGATCGCCGAGACCTTTTCGTGCGATTCCACCTTGGCGCAGCGCTTCTGGAAGAAGACTGCGAGCTCGTGCTCGCAGATCGTGATCCCGATGATCTTGGTAGTCGCCTTGACCCCGGCCTGGAACTCGGCATCTGGATGGGCGGCCAGCTCGCTGCACAACGCAGCGTACTCCTGCTCGCCCTGCGGGAGGGGACGCAGGAGACAAGCCAGGGAAAAGGGGAGGGGGCGCACCCGTCGGGTTCGGAATCGGGCACAACCCCAGCTGCCCAGTGGCGACGCCGAGGACATCGGCCCCGATGGCCTCGGCGTCGCCACTGGACAGCTGGGGTGGTCCTGAGCGACCCTCCCTCTTCGCAATCCCTGCCCTTCCCTACCCTCCCCCCTCCCCTCTCACCATCGCACCTTCCCGTCACGGCGCGTCCGCCGTCGCCTCTCCCCACCCCCTCGCCCCCCCCGCAAGCTCGGATGCGCATTTGTTTAGGCGGTGCCTTCGTCAGCTTCTCGTGGAAGCCCTCGTAGAAACTCAGATCCTTGGTCGGCAGCGTCGTCTTGGCGTGCTTCGCCACCGCCTCGCATGCCTTGTTAGCGACATGAGCGGACCAAGATGCACCATCCTCGCCACCCTTCGCGATCTTCGCACACTCAACGCGGGCGGCCTGCAGCTCGGCCTCCCCCTGGGCGCAATAGTCCTCGGCAATCTTCTTTGCCTTCCCGTGAATCAGATCAATCATATCGGCGAGGCCGCGCTCGTGCTCTTCGTCGAAATCGTGCGCGCCCAGCTTCCCGCACTGCCTCACCGAGCTGCGGAAGCCATCGACCTTGGAGAAAATGTCAAGCACGACATCTTTGCAGCTGGGGTTCTTGATCTTCGCATCGTCGTTATCGCCAAGGCTGTTGAACGTCGGGATGGTTGTGGCGGCCGCGAGGCTGAACCTGGCGACTGCGACGAGGCACTTCCACTGCTTCTGCACGTCTGCATCTCGCGTAGAAGCCAACGTGACCATTGCCATTATGATGCTGTCCTGCATGGGGTGGACGTCTGTCGACCTGATCGCGTGCTCGGCCAAGGCCGAGAACATCTGCGCGAAGACAACGTGGACTTTTTTGCTGAGCATGCGGGGGAGATCGACGCCGACCACCTCCGAGCAAGCTGTCTTCAACACTGTCGCATCATCGTCCGTGACCATATTCAACCCGTCGGCGTCGTTGTACACCGCGTCAAGTGCCGCTGACAACATACCCGCACGCTTCTTGTCATGGGCGGCGCTCATGACACTCTTGGCCTTCTCAGACTGGTCGGCGATGAAATCACCGTACGGCCAGAGCGCGCTAGCCGCGTCCGTGAACTCCTGCAGCATAGTGCACTTGTCTGTCTTGAACTCGTCTGTAGCTCCATTGTACGCCGTGCATATTCTTTTGATGATGACCTTGCACTGCTTCGAGAAATCGTCAAACGTGCCCTGGCGGAAAGCAAGCTCCCACTTAGGCAACTGAATCAAACACTCCTTAACCCAAGTGACCGCGTCGACGAAGTTACCGAGAACCGTGGATGTGTCCATGGCGCTGTATTTTGAAAGCTCTGCGAGGTGGTGGTTGACAGCATCGGCGTACTTGCTTGACTTCTCCTGGTGCTCCTTGATGTCCTCGATCTTCTGCTGGTAGAAGTTGGTCGTGGCCATGGCGCGCCATGCCCTGGCACTGAGCGACCCCGCGTTGGCCTGAGCCGCATCCTTGAGCTCGTCCGCGAGCTCGTTCTGCTGAATGACGTCGATGGAAGGGGTGCTACAAACGCAAGCTTCGACGACCTTGAATGCAAGCATGAGCTCGTAGACCAGGGGGATGTGCTTCGATGGAATCCTCTGGGCTTTCCAGTCCTGCTTGAGCATCGGGATCAGCGCGCACACGAAGGACCTCGCAAGGTCGACGCCAGACTCCCCGCTCAGGAGCACGCCGCAGAACACGTCACTAATGAACCAATCCACGAATAGGAGGATCTTGGAATCTGGGTCCGAATCCATCTCCACCAACATGGGCCTCAACGGATCGAATGACATATCTGGCACCTCGTCCGCTGGCACTCCTGCATCGGCGGCCACATACACGTAGGGCTTGCAGAAGCTGTAGAGATCAACAAGGGATTGCGTCGGGTCGTGCTGGACCTTCACCTCCTCCCAGTGGCGCTGAGCAGCGAGTGTCCACAGCTTCTCCTGTAGCTTCAGGGGGAACACGACGCTCGCAGCCTTCAGCGCCTTGAGGTCATCGTGAGCCTGCTGGTCGATAACCCTCAACCGCAACGGTCGCAGCTGTCTCGCCTTCTCCACCAACGCCATGTGGTTCTTCAACAGCTTGTGGTTCGTCTCGTAGTGCTTGGAGTTGGCATGCTTGGTCAGAAGCGCATATGCCTGCGTCTCGGCTCTCCCCAAGCTCACGCCGCACAGCACCGAGCTGATGTCGTTCTTCTGGATCCAGCATGCGAACTGTAAAGACGTCTCTGCGGGGCAACCGTCAAACCGATCGTCGGTGCCAATATTCGAACCGGCATCCGAACCGCGCGCAGATACCACGGTGCCAGCTCCACCCCTCACGCACGACATCGGCGGCGACGGACACGGGGAAGGGCGCCCGCTCTCGCAGTGGCTGCGCAAGGCGTCTGCCGACAAGGCTGCGGTGTTCTGCTGGCGTCGGCATGGGGCGCTAGATGGGGCTGGGCAGAGCCGCCGACGAAAGCGCGCGAGGAACTGGAGCTGCTGGTGACATACCGTCTTCATCATCGCCGTCTCCGTCACCTGGGAAGGCGCCACCAACAGGCCCCGCACTGCCAGATGCCCCGCGCGCGGGGAGCTGCCGATCGCGTCGGCCGTTGGCATCGAGAAATGACAGGAGCGGAACCTTCTGCAAGTGATTGAGGCTGTCCCAGAACTTCTTGTACTCAGAATCCCAAGCGATGTCGACCTGCTCAGGGATACAATGCGCCGCCCTCGTGATAGGAGTCTCCTTGCGACTGACCTGCTGCGCCATGTCGATCTTGATCTTCTGGTACTGCGCAGTCAAGGACGGGCCGCCGATATCATCAATCACCAGGAAGTGCGGCTCGTCGATGTCAATGTGGCCAGTATACTCTGTGATCTTCAGCCTCTTGATGGTCTTGTTTGATAGATCTTTCACCTCCGACTCGGTCAGGAAGAGGAACTCCCTGCTGACAGTCGCCGACATGAACCTCGTCACGACCATGTCCTCGCATTCGAAGTTCCTGCACTTGGGCGGCAAGGTTATCTGGGAGGGCACGTTCGCGAGGTTCTGCTTCAGGTTGGGGTAGTCCGTCAAGGCCTGCACCGAGGCGTTGGCGTCGGGCAGCCAGGGGATGTAGGTGGCGCGCTTGTCGTCGCACTTCTTGCAGATGGGCCCCGTCGGCTTGCCACCATCATACTCGATCCACAACTCTTCCTCCAATGCCGAGCAAAGAGGAGTCAGAAATGCACCGCCCTTGTGGAATCGACGACATAGAATATGTTCAGGATCGGGGCAACTGGAATCTCCGACGGAACTGCAAAGGGAAACAAGATACCCGACGACAGTCGGGACCAGTGGAATTCCCGATCGACGACACTCGGGACCACTGGGGCCCCAGACACTCATCGGGGCCGCATGGCCCCCAGACGATTACCAAGTGCCCCCGGCGACAACGGGGCCACGGAGTACCCGACGGCAACCCGAACCATGGTTCCCAGAGGGGGCAAAGGAGGGCATTGCCAAGTGGGGGCGGGTGGGTCGTGAGGAGGGGAAAGGCTTGATCGGTGAGGGGGGAGCAGAGAAGAGTGGAAGCGGTGCGCTCCCTTCTCCGTGGGAACCCACCGCTCGATATGCGAAATCCCACCAGCCCTCTGGGCGTAGATGGTCTAGAGAGTTTCCTCTTCCAACCCGTTTCTTCCCCTTCGGGGAGGGGTTTGCCCCTCCCCCCGCCCCCTGCCCTGGACCTGGACGGAGCGCCCCGCGAGCGGTCAGAGCGTCCAAGATGGCCCAAGACGGCTCCAAGAGGGCCTCAGAGAGACCAATATGACCTCCAAGATGTCACAACATTCACAAGATAGCGCAAGATGCGTCAAGATGGCCCCCAAGATGCTCCAAGAGGCCCCAAGAACGTTCCAAGACGGCCCCAAGAGACATCCGAGACTTCCAAGGAAGCCTCAAGAAGCCCAAATCCTTCAACTACAAAAAGAAAACCACTGATGGTTGCCTTCTCGCCTTTTCGCTTCCGATGGCCATCCGAGGCCTCGCCCCCAACGTTGATGACAAGCTTCTCCTTCATGGGCATCGGGTAGGACGTCGGACAGGGCGTCGGGTAGGGCGTCGGGCCCAGGGGTCAGGATGCTCAGATCAAAGGTGGCTGGGCCAGAGCGGCTACATACGCTGGCGCGCGTTATGGTTTTCCTGGTTTAAGGGCTGGCGGTGCTCAAGCGGGGCAGTGCTCATTGGAGCCCAGCATCTTTGATCAATATCCCTCATGATGGCCCCAAGAGGCCCTCTCACGCCCCCACGAGGGCCCCCGCGACGAGAAGTCAAAGGGTGGTGCGACGAGGAGTCAACCGGTGATGCGACGAGGAGCCAATGGGTGGTGCGACGAGGAGTAAAAGGGTGGTGCGACGAGGAGTCAAAGGGTGGCGCGGACCCCGTCAAACGCGGCGGTGCGACGAGGAGTCAAGGGGTGGTGCGACGAGGACCGAACGGGTAGTGCGACAAAGAGCTATTGCATCGGGCACTGGGTACGCCATTTGCGCCTCGAATATACAATGCGACCACACAGCATTATGCCACGACGCGCCGCACTGGCAAGGAACAGGCATTGGCGCTCGACTAGTTTTGACTAGCGATGATCTTCGCGCCACTGCGGGCGGCCTGGGCCCTGTGCCCCAGGCATTTGTGCAACGTCACCCTCGGGCCCTCGAGCCGACGACGACGACGACGACAGCGACGACGACGACGGCGACGACGATCGCGACGACGACGACGACCACGACGACGACGACGACGACGACGACGACGACGACGACGATCGTGACGACGACGACGACGATCGTGACGACGACGACGACGACCACGACGATCACGACGACGTTTGACGGCGCGCCCAAGCCGTTATGACAGCGGCGCCGCCACGCAGAAACCAAGTCCGCCTTGCCCAGCCCGAGGCGCCCGAGGCGCTCCTTACTCTCGAAATTTGACTGCCAAAAATCCGACCTATTCTAAATAAGTTTAGAATAGGTCGGTGAAAGCACTGTGGCAGCTCAAGCGGCCTAGATCTCGAGCCCCCTGAGAAAGCCCGTTAGCTCACATGTAAGGTGGGCCCGAACACCGCCAGGAATCACCTGGGACATGCAATCCGTGAAGCCCGTCGGGTGCCCTCCTGGCGAGATCTCACGAAACCGCCCGACCACCTAGACTACACGTGGCCACGACTCGAGGGTGGCGGGAGTGGCCGAAAGCTCTGCATACATAGTTAACGACATACAGAAGAACGCCAAATATATGCATGGAGCGTGGAAGTGCCTCGCTCTTCACGCGCACCTAGGTCCTGGGTCCTCTTGGACAGCCTTGGGGCAATCTTCAATCATTCAGCCTTGCATGCGCGCAGCGTCGTCAACCGTTATGCTGCAACTGGTGATGCCCCCCGACGCTAGGCTAGGACCAAGCTCTGCCATCCAATGCCACCCTGCCTGATGTGCACCCCGTGGGGGAGGGGGGCCAACGACAACGCGGCCAGCTAAAGCTCGACGAGAGCTTCGCGACGGCTGCGCCGCTGTCGCGATTTGCACCGCTGGCAAATATGCCGCACCATAGATCATAGCATTCCCGACAGGATGGCAACGGACGCGCGGACCTTGCCCATCGCTGCGAGCCAGCTCGACGGACCTTGCCGCAATGCCCGCCGCCGCGAGCCAGCTCACGCGGCCGAACTCTAACTCGAGCTCGCGGCCGACCCCGAGCGGTGCACCTGCTCGATGAGGTGGGAAGGGCGAGGGTGATGGGAGGTGGGGTGGGGGAGAAAACCTGCCGCCGCCGCCGACGACGACGACGACGACGACGACGACTACGACGACGACGACGACGACGACGACGACGGCGACGGCGACGGCGACGACGACGACGGCGACGGCGACGGCGACGGCGACGACGACAACGAAGACGTCGGCGACGACGACGACGGCGACGATACGACGACGGCGATGACGACAGGCGATGACGACGACGGCGACGACGACAACGAGGTCTGCGACTACGCCGTCGTATCGTAGTCGTCGATGCCTCCAAGTGGCCATCGAGGCCCCTGCCCCCGCCCTTGCCCTGGCCCGCCGCGCCCCTGAGGTCCCCGATGCCGGCCACGTGGCGGTAGTTCGAATCAACAACCCAAACGCCGACCTCTCGACTCTCGAGGGAAAACGGTTGGGGATGATGCGGTGCGGGGGGGATGAGGAGGAGGAGGCACCTTCCCCGCGCCAGCGTCCGCGTCGCCATCCGCGCCGAGGTTGCTGCGCAGCACGCCCTCTGAGAGGCGACGGCGACGAGTGGGGGGAAGAGGAGGAGGAGGACGACGACGGTGCCTTGAAGCCGCCGCCCGCGAAGATGCCGCCGCGACTCTGGCTGCCGCCGCTGCCCGCCTCGGAGAGGAGAGCGCGGGCATGGTTACTACGAGGAGCACGGGGGATGCGATGACAAAGGGTGACGGGTGAGGTCCCGAGGAGGCGAGGTCCCGAGGAGATGCGAGGTGAGGTCCTCAGGAGAGGGAGGAGGCGGTGAGGGAGGTCCTGAGGAGAGGTGAGGTGAGGTCCTGAGGAGAGGCGAGGCGAGGTCCTGAGGAGAGGCTGGAGGGGAATGAGGGCGAGGTCCCGAGGATAGGAAGGAGGAAAGGGAGGTGATGACGATGCGGAGGACCAGGAACAGGAGGACAAGGAGGAGGATGAGGCGGAGGAGGAGGGGGCGCAGCAGCAGAGGGAGGACGAGGAGGTGGCGACTGTTGCGATCGTCCACGAGGCCTCGGCCTCCTCTGCGACCGCGCGGCCGCCCCCCACCTCATCCACCTGGCTATCCTTGACCACATCGGGCGCGTCTGCCGCAGCCACCTCAGCCACCTCGGCCGAAGACGCGGCGGCGGCCGCCCTGGCGCCCGCATCCGCCAACTGCTCGTTCAGCCAGGGGATGTGCCTCTCCGCCCTGCTGCTCTCCGATTCAATTGCCCCCAATTCGACATCGAGGCAGTGCACCTCCCGCTCGCTCCTGCGCGCGCTCTCCTCCAGCGCAGCGATCTCCGCAGGCGTGGCGTGGCTGCTCTTCTGGGTGTCCAGCTCGGCCTTGATGCGCTCGAGCGCATCGATGGCGAATGCTCTGGTGCGTTCGGCCTTGGCTTGCTTCTCCGCCATCTCCCTCTTGAGCCTGGCCGCGAGCCTGATCGCGTTTCTCGACGGCGGGGCAACCCGCACCCATGCTTCCGTCTTCCAGAAGTTGTGTTGCTGAGCAAAGCCGCTCTCCAACTCCCCGCCCTCGTGAACGCGCCCGACGCCATCGGACACGGCGCTCTCCTCGTGCGCGCCCTCGTCGGCCGCGCGGGAAGCAGCCCTCCTGACCTCAGCCGCAGCCATCCTCCTTTCCAGCCTCATGCGATTCTTTATGCCGCCCCGAGCCCGCGGTTTCCGCGTCCCTGGACGGCCTTCCCTTGGCGACCTGCCGCGCTCATGGCGGCCTTTGCCCTTGTTCTTGCCCTTGCCTGTGCCCTTGCTCTTGCCCTTCCGCCCTTTCGACAACCACGGCGGCTCCTCCGACGAGTGTGATCCCAAAACCCACTCGCATTCTGTCGACGGACTCCTCCTGCCCCTACGCCGCGAGCCTGCAGGCCGCGAGGCTCGCCAGCGCCTCGCGTCGCTCCTCGCCCTCCTCATGCTCCTCCGACTCCTGCTGCGCGAGCTGGAAGACCGCGACCTCCTCTTCCTCGCCCTCCCCGCCCTCCTTGGAGGCGCACTCGAAGTCCTCGACCTCCTGCGCCTCGTCGCCTGCTCCCGCTGCCGCTGCAACACTCTCGAAGGAGGCGGAGTCGACGGCGACTGCGGGCGCGGCTACGGCGCCACGAGCTGCGGCGCCAGCGGCGGCGCGCGCGGGGCTCGACCGATGGCGAGGCGGGGGGGGGGGGGGGGGCGGACGACGACGGTCGGAGCATTAGGAGGAGAGGGGGGGCGACGACGACGGTGACTTCGGCATCCAGGTAAGAACCGAGGATCGTCCTGGGGGGATTGCTGCATTGCGCGGCGCGGCCCAGGACCGCCGACACCCTGGCCCCTCCCGCAGACGGGAGATCGGGCCTGCTCGAAGAAAGCTGACCACGGCGATGGCGAATGCGGATGGGCGCCCGCCTCCCCGCCCACTCACCCATTCCAGCATCC